GCTCTTTGAATTTAAACCAGGCTCTTTGAATTTAAACCAGGCTCTTTGAATTTATACCAAGCTCTTTGAATTTATACCAGGCTCTTTGAATTTAAACCAAGCTCTTTGAATTTATACCAGGCTCTTTGAATATATACCAGGCTCTTTGAATATATATACTAAGCTCTTTGAATTCATAACCAAGCTCTTTGAATTCATAACCAAGCTCTTTGAAACTTGACGACATGCCACGTCAAAGTTTAAAAAAATATGTAAAAAACATGTAATCGAAACACTACGTTAATTCATGTCTGCCTCTTGAATCATTGTGATTGTTGCATTGCTCTTAGCCTTACTAACACATACACTACTTGACTTTGCCAAAAAAAATGATCATCTATCGTTCTGCTATTTTCTCTTCTTTTTTTTTCTTTTTTCTTTCTCCTTAAATTGTTAATTAGTTTTACGACTCTTTTTGTTTATACTCGTTGTTTTATTGTAGAAATCTAAATTTGTTGCATAAAAAAAACCTATTTAAATGTTATTGAATTTGGTCCTAGCATAGAAAATGAATGGACTGGTCACTTGCAATTGAATACCACCTGACCTAATTAAATGTAATTATATTACCATTAAATTTGAAAAGATGTGTGGTTTACTGGTGAGGCAAAACTCATACCTTCCCACCTAATGCTATATGTATTAATTTTGAATTTTAAATAAATAAATAAATAAATAAATAAATAAAATGAATAAATAAATTATGCAATATGATCTCCGTCCACACATTGAAGTGTGAAATGAAGCAGTAGCAGCAGTGTAATATGGTCAGTGGAATCGAAGCGCACACATATACACAGCATAAACGGCAGCACCAATAGAGTTGCCGACTCACAAATTCGTGATGTTTTTCAGTTTATCGTATTCAAATGCGTCTAATTGTAACAATATAAGAGAGAGAGAGAGAGAGAGAGAGAGAGAGAGAGAGAACAACATTGATTGTGTAAGTAGGATTTCAGCCGACGACACACAGCACCACGATTATATCGTAGGACACACACAGTGCTTTGGACTTTCAATCGACTTGTATTTCATACATGCGGTCAATCGACAGAGAAAAAAGCACACACCAAATTCGATTACAATTCCATTTTCAAACGATCAATATTTTTCCAAACATGGAACCCTATAGGAGCAACAAATCTAAGCATTCTGTAATAGCTATCACTGTAATGTTTCATCTCATTATTCTAATATTATTATTCTACAATTAGCTATCGAGAGTAAACGCTTTGTTTTCATTTTGTTGTAATTACCTTTGGTAAATAATGTTAGAAAAATTTTATTTTGAAGAACTACATCTCAAAAACTAATTCCTTGCAAATAAATTTGTTCCTTATGTTTCAAGGTTTCGACTTAAACAAGTGGTCATTAATCGCACATTTGTGTTGCTATGTTGTTGAAGCGAAGAATTTTATTAAAAAAAAATTTCTAATTAATTATTCATTTTACACTTCGTCGGATCATCGATCAGTCGGTGAAGAGCGTCGACGTCGTGCTGAAGCACTTCCAGCTCGACTTGAAATCCTGTGGGGCCGGCACTGATTATGAGGTCATTCGTCGCATCATCGACCGATGCTTGGACGCTGTCCGACGTGCTAAGACGGCCGACGAACATCGTAAGGCACTTCAAGATCAAATCGAAGCCGAAGCTGAAGCGAAAGAAGCTCAAGAGAAGGTCGCCCAGTTGGAGGCCGAAGTTGAGGAAGGCACAACGTAGCTGACCCGGATGATGCCGATGTCGACCCGGAAGAGGAAAACGATTAATTGGATCGAATCATCAACCAAAAGCATAAAATCATCGAATCAAACCAACGTTCCAAAATCCTACACATTATCCGAAATTGCAATTTATGTTGTAGTCGCATTTTTATGTATCTTGATAAGTTACATTGCTATTCGTCGGTTCAATAAATATAGATCTGCTCGATATCCAACTCACGTAAATCAGCCATACGAAATTCCGACAGTTCATCGATCACGAAGTGTCGAGCCGCAAACTCACACCGAATCTAGTTTGTGAATACAGTTTGTTGTGTTTGACTGTAATAAAGACATTTGATTTTTTTTGCACGTTCCATTTTCGATATTGATTGACATTTGTGATCCGAGTGGGGTAGATGCCATAGTTCCCTCTGTTCCGTGAAGTTCCGTATCCGTACGGGTTCCGTACGGATACGGAACTTCACGAAACCAAATAAGTTCGGTGTCCGTACGGAACCTGACGGAAGTTGACGGAACTTGACGGAACTTGGCCGTTTGAGCGTTGGCATAACAAATGGTAAATGTCATAGCTCCCTCTGTTCCGCAGAGTTCCGCGTCCGTGCGGAATCCGTGCAGGTTCCGTGCGGAGACGGAGATCCGCGGAACAAATTGAGTTCCGTATCCGTACGGAAGTCGACGGAACTTGACGGAACTCGACGTAAGTCGACGTAAGTAGAGAAAGTACGTTACAAGTTTCTGTACGTTATGGATAATATTTTTCCCTCAGTATGGATAGTGTACATACTAGAATTCCGTCCCCTACAAATGCTATTTGTTTCACCTTGTATGTGCATATAGAATACAATTCCATTTTCAAACGATCAAAATAGCAATTTGATTATGCTAAACGTAAAAAAATAGTTGTCCAGACATGGAAACAGTGAGTGAGAACGTAAGTTCAACGATTAATTGGATCGAATCATCCATACCGAGAACATGACGTATTTGAAACGTCTAACTCCATCTACGGATTTTTCCAGCAGTTGTGTTCTATTGAGTTGCGGTTTCAACTATTTTCGGGCGAAATTATCTCAAAAGTATGCTAAAATGAGTTATTTGTCATGCGAACGCTCAAATGAGTTATTTGTCAAGCGAACGCTCAAACGACTACTGTTAATGTACGCACTGATTCAGTAGACATGCAATGGCTACTAGATGACAAATTTACAATTCACTCGAGTGCGTGTATTTGTGCGTACATTTCCGGTAGCCGTTTGAGCGTTCGCATAACAAATAACTCATTTTTGTATATTTTTGAGATAATTTCGCCCAAAAATAGTTGAAATCGTTATATGTCTACTCGATTCACAACTACTGAAAAAATCCGTAGATGGAGTTAGACGCCCGTACCAAATGTAATGTATTGAAACTCCATATATATGCTCGGAGTATGGAATCATCAACCAAAAGCATAATATCATCGACTCAAACCAACGTTCCAAAATCCTTAACAATATTCGAAATTGGAATTGTTTTTGTATTCGTAGTTTTATGTGGTTTGATAGGTTTCATTTGTATTCGTCAGTACAATAAATATAAATCTTCTCGATATCCAACTCGCGTGAATTCGACATACGAAATTCGGACAATCCGTCGATCAAGAAACGTGGTGCCGCCAACTCAAACCGAATCTAGTTTGTGAATATAGTTTGTTGTATTTGACTGTTATAAAGACATTTGAATTTTCTTGCACGTTCCATTTTCGATATTGATTGACATTTGCATTATTTTCAGCTGTGTTTCGTGATTGTTCGGCCAAGCATATCAAAATAATGGACAAAGTGACATTGAGTGGCGTTGTATCCGCAACAACACCGGCTGCACCTGGTCTACACGTGTTCACATGCCAACGCAGACCAAATTTGGGCCATAAAGGTCGTCCGATATTGTTGTGCGCCAATCATTTTCAGATTTCGATGCCACGCGGTTTCGTCCATCATTATGACATTAACATTCAGCCGGATAAGTGTCCACGCAAAGTGAACTGTGAAATCATCGAAACGATGGTACATGCGTACAGTAAATTATTTGTTGTTTTGAAGCCACTATTTGATGGTCGCAACAATTTATATACACGCGACCCGTTGCCCATTGGAAACGATCGTTTAGAGTTGGAGGTAACATTGCCGGGTGAGGGTAAAGATCGTGTATTTCGTGTGTCGATCAAATGGTTGGACCAGGTTTCACTATTCAATTTGGAAGAGGCGCTCGAGGGTCGTACACGTCAAATTCCGTACGATGCCATATTGGCATTGGACGTGGTTATGCGTCATTTGCCAAGCATGACATACACACCCGTCGGTCGCAGTTTCTTCAGTTCACCAGATGGCTACTATCATCCATTTGGCGGCGGTCGTGAAGTTTGTTTTAGTTTCCATCAAAGTGTACGACCATCACAGTGGAAAATGATGCTTAATATTGATGGTACGTTTTGCAATTTTTGAAAACATTTTATATAAACGCTTCTCATGATCAATTCTTTACTATTTGAAATCGATAGAAAGTTTGATTTGTTAGATCGAAATGACATTTTTCGTTCGAATTGAATTTCAGTTTCGGCAACTGCATTTTACAAAGCACAACCAGTTACTGACTTTATGTGCGAAGTTCTCGATATTCGTGACGTATTAGACCAGCGAAAACCACTTACAGATTCACAGCGTGTTAAATTTACAAAAGAAATTAAAGGCTTAAAAATCGAAATCACACATTGCGGAACAATGAGGCGAAAGTATCGTGTGTGCAACGTAACACGACGTCCAGCTCAAATGCAATCGTAACTATCCGAAACCGCGTCACATTTATGACCAAGCGCATTTATTGATTTGCTAATTTTCCACTATTTTTTTCTCTCGTGTGATTAGATTCCCATTACAATTAGAAAACGGACAAACGGTTGAGTGCACCGTAGCGAAATATTTCCTCGATAAATACAAAATGAAGTTGAAGCGCCCACATTTGCCCTGTCTTCAAGTGGGCCAAGAACACAAGCATACCT